CTCTTCTGGATAACTTGCTGCTTCATCTTGCACTTTTGTGTTATGGAGACAGCTTCTTTCATTAAACGTCATGAACCAACCTCTGCTGGTATCCAACTTTTCTCCAGCTTCCTCACTTCTCTCAGCCTTCACAGAGTTGAAGAGAGTTAGAGCCTTGCTCCGGATTGAGCTTTGGCTTAAGGAAATGTTGTGGCTGGTTGCATCTTCTATTCAAACCACTCAAACTTTCTCCATATCAGCAATAAGGGCGTTGTACTTCCTTATCACTTGTGTGCTCACTCAAGTAGCACTTTTAATTTCCTTCAAATAGTTTTCTTTTGTATTCATGATTTGGCTGTTTGCCCCAGGAGGCCTAGCCTCTGGCTTATTTCAGCTTCCCACATGCCTTCCTCATTAAAGTAAGAGATGTGCACCTCTTTCTTTCACTTAAGCACTTAGAGACAATTGCAGGGTTATTAAGTGGTCTCATTTTAATACTGTTGTGTCTCAGGGTCTCAGAAGACATGGGGAGAGGGATAGAGATGGGAAAATGGCTGGTCAGTGGAGCAGTCAGAGCACATACATTTGTCAATTAAGTTTACTGTCTCATATAGGGACAGCTCATTGCACCCCAAAACAATTACAATTGTAACATTAAAGTTATTGATTGCAGGTGACCATAATTGATATAATAACAATGAAAAAGTTTCTAAAATGTGACACAGAAACACGAAGTGAGCACATGCTGTTGGAAAAATGACACCAATAGGCTTGTGCAATGCAAGATTGCCCCAAACCTTCAATTAAAAAAAAAAAAAATGCAGTATCTGCAAAGTATAATCAAGTGAAGCACAATATAACAAGATATGCCTCTATCATTTTCTGCTTTTAATTTGAACTTCAGATCATCACAGATATGTGAAAAGTTTCCATATAGGATGCTTTTTAAAAGTATTTGTTGCTCATCAGGAGAAAGTTATTGTGAAATATTACTAAATGTACTATGAATTTATCAAGCTAAGCCATGCTTCACACTTTCTGCCAATTTTACTTTTTACTAGAGAATTTATTCAACAGTTTAAAACAACAAGGCGTTGGTTATCATTGCCCTTCCAAGGTAATTTTTCATATACTAATAGTTAGGGACTATGTCACATAAGTAGAATTTATAAATTTGGGGCAAGAAAATCCACTGTGTTTGTGAAAGATATGTATTATTTACATTAATTGAAACCTAATGTGACAAATCTTGCTGGAAACAAAATAATATTTCTATTTTATATTTTTTTGGCAAAAAATCACTACAGTTTGTGACATCTGTAATCTTTTGAGACAAAATGTCTCAAATATACCTTCTTTAATTCCATTGCCACCTAATACAATAAAGATGAATAAAAATGTTTAATCTATTTTTCCTGGATAACAAATTTATATAACCAAAAATCAGAAAAGTCCTCTTCCCATCTACCCCAAACTCTAGCCACAGTGGAATATTACTTATTTTCTCAATATATTATGTACTTTTATTTTTATAACTAATTTTGCTCACACTTCTTCCTCTGTCTCCAGTAAAAAGGAAACTTTCTCTTCTTTTCTACCTTGTAAATGCCTTCTCCTTCTTCAAATCTAATTTGTGCTAGACAAAAGATATGGGATTTATCCCTATACATTCCTCCTGTAAAACTACTATAGTTCCTATTACAGGTGGAATGGACATAGACAGCTGTGTTAGGAACCAGGTAACCATGCTAGACAATTGAACCAGAGGTGAACCCCTGATTAAAGATAAGCTAAACAGAACCCTTACCCAAGATTTTGGAATAGGAGTCTCTGAAAGGTTAAGCAATTTTTTGAGTGGATCTGCACTGGAATATCACATATATTGGGGACAGAATTTTACTTGTCACCATGGCAAGTGATAGACATTGCAAATTACAATGGAACAGAAGTTATACGTGAGCTTGCAGAATGCTTTCTATCTTGATTTTTATGAGTGGCATCAACCCATGTCTTTTTTTAACTTTTTCTAGTTTAAGTGCTGCTTTTTCTTTCTTGAAATAAAAGGGCGAGAGAAGGTGATGGTTCAAATACCACCTCTTCTCTGAAGCTTTTCCTAAGCAGCTACAGTCTGATTTAATTAATTTTAATCTGTTGTTGGGTGTTAATTTATGTAATATAATACAGCATATATCTCATATACATTTAATTGTGCAATAGTAAAGGCCTAAAATTGAGTGCCTACATTGAGCTAAACATAATAGTATTCTCATACATGCCTTAGTCTCACATCTACATCACTGAGGGAGCCATGACTCAATCCCCAGTCTTTCTGGTTCTAGAGACTGTTTCTAACCACTCTACTAAATCAACTTCCAGCGCTAATGTTCATTGTCTCCCTTGCGAAACAGTAAGTTCTTTGAAGTTAAAGACCAATGTTATTCACATCTTTTCAAATGCTAGCATAGTGCTCACTGGCCATGGCAGGCTAAATAAATGTTTACTGAATTAAAATTCCCTAGCATTACCTAGATTGTAGTCCTAGATTAGTGATATGATTGACTGTTTCTAAGCTGTCAACCCTTATACTTAATATATAAAGGCCCACATGTACATACACTTTTGTACAAATATCGGATGCTTAAATTATGAAATTATTTTCTTTAATGTAGAGATAATGTATTTATTTTACATTTTGATATTGTCCTCAGAATAGTATTTTAGAAGGTATGAAAATTGCAGTGGAAGACATTTTATAAGCCTAATGGTAGTTTTGTCTATTTTTCTTTAAGACTATAAAAGAAAGTCAGTAGTATGATAAAGTTTGATAATGTCGCCAATTTAAAAACAAAGGGCCAGGCTCATTCCTATCAATAGATGAAACAAAGTTTGAAATATTCAACTCTTCTAGCAAAACAAGAAAAGGAAGTGGTGAGAAGAGGCTTGTGATTTTATTTAATAATTATTTCAAAATCAAAATAATTAGAACAAGTCTAGCTTTAACTAAATGCCAGAGATAACTGTTCAATGTGAAATTGTTAGTTTAAGCCTGTATTTCCCTTTTTCTCCTTTGATACAGTTTAGCGAGAGCTTAACCATCACTTGGTCAGTGATAAGCAGGCATCTTCATATTTTGCCCATGCCAGACTTTGAGTAGCTACAGAAAGCATGCATTTTGGACTCTGCTTCAGCTATTAGTCATCCTATAACTATATTGGCACACAAACAAAAATTCTATACTCATGATGCATTATTTGTTAGATCAAAAACTCTGGAAACAACTTAAATGTCACTGGTTAAAACAATTACGGTATTGCCATTCCAACATATTACAAACTTCATGTAACCTTTAAAAAGAATCAGTCACCTCTCTATGTATTATAGAAAATGATCTGCAAGACACATAAACTAAAAAAACGAAGGTACAGGGAAGTGTGTAGAGTATACTAACATTTGACATAAAGTACCTTGTGAAATTTTCCCAGGTGCATGTATTTTCCATTAAAATGCATTGTTTAAAAGTCACACAGCAACAACAACATTTTAAACAATCATTACACAAATTATTATAGATTCATTAAATAACCCTCTTTTGAATTTAAATTTTATCGGATTCCCATCTTCTAGCCTCCATTACTAGCTAATAAAATAGCTACAATTTTCTCGATATTTTCCACCTTTATAAATATGAAGAATTCTTTTTAATGAAAACCTTTTCCTAACTTCTCAGCTGGAAATGGAAGAAGAGGCATCCCTCTTTGGTTGGTTTTGTATGCCTCTACACATCTCTCATCTGGAGATGAGAAGCAAGAAGGGCTATCATGAGGGTCAATGTGCTGAGGTCCCTTCCTGTAGAATGGAAGGGATCCAATAACTAGAGCCCTTTAAAAGTTTGCTTCTTTCCCCACTTAAGCAGAAGGCTCTTCTTTCTTCTTTTTGAAGAAAAAGTTTCCTGTTTCCTCTATTGTGTTTTATTGGAGATGGCAGGCCTTAGAATTGGCCTTCCTGGCACTTCAGAAAACAAGTACAAGTAGAAAAAGAAAGTTTCTCCTGGGTGAGGAAGCTGAGACTTCCAGACAAAAGGAATGTAACAGCAGACATCCTGCCAGTTCCTCTCTCAGTGAAGAACTAACCAAAGCTTCTGTCCCATTGGTTGAGCCCCTTGAAATTGAACCACTTCCAGAAACACAAAAACAACAGTCTAGGACATCTGCAGTATTTAAGGAAATATTTGCACAATTGATCAGTCACTAATATCCTTTGCTTGCCTGAAACACAGCATTTTGTGGTTTGGGCACAGACTTTAGAATACTACAGAAAAAGTATACATTGGGAAGTTTGCTTTCCTTTTTCCTCAGCATAAACAATATGAAATCTGGCAAGTAAAAATGCAAAGACAATTTAGATTTCATTCCTGTGGGTTTTCTTTTAAACACTGTGTCCCTATCCTCATTCCAATCAATAGATTTCAGGCTAAATAATACTTGAAATATTAAACTCACCTAGCAAGAGCAAGAAAGAGTGGAATGAGGAAGGATTGGTAATTTTTAATTAATAATTATTTTAATATCAAAGTAACAAGAACAAGTCTCCTTTGCATGTAGTAGTACTTAAAATACTGCAAATTAATTTGTTTGATATAAAATCTGCATGTATTTGTTAACTGTATTTATGGGCACGCACCCTGTTCCCAACAACCACCAAGTACTTTGGGGTGTTATTTTTGTGGACGATTTTCTTCCTTTTCCAAAAATGTTGACCATTTAGGTATGCATTATTAATTTATTGGAAACTATTTTTGAAAGTAGTAATGTAAGATTCGCTCTCATTCTACCATGGTCATTTGAGCTTATCAATGCAGATTACATCTTTCTTTAAAGTTATTCTAGAACTGATTAATATTTTCTTATATTTAGACACTATCTTTTCTCTAATTATCTTTAAACATGTCACACTTCTGTTCCCATGGAACACACACACACATGTACACACACATACCCCTCTAAGTTTACAATCCCAAAATATATGTCTACTTATAACATTTCATATTACATGTTAAATTTTATTTCAAAAACTATCACAGTCTAAAGAGAAATATAATTTAAGCATTAAGATAGTACAGTTCAGAAAATAAGCTAGTATTTTCTTGTTAAATTTTAATACTATCATTTGTCATTCCAAGAGATCCTTGCATTCTACACTCTAGAATTAAAAGGGGGAAAAGGTTATGCTTTTAAGAACTATAAGCTGAAATGATTTATTTCAATTCAATATAGAATATTTGTCAGTCAAGATATCAATCAATGTGTACAAAAATTTACATAACAGGAGGAATAATAGGCAGTGCAGCACCCTTAGAAAAATAATTAAAAGTTTTGTTGCATTTACAGGTAAGTGCCACACTGAGAATGTACAATACAGTAATTTACTGCAATCACAGGGGAGTTCCATAAAGAAACAAAGCTCTTACACTCCAGGTTTTTGAAAGGTGTTATTGGAATGCTTAACTGAAACCACAGAACTTGTATATCCTTAGGATTGAGTTGATGAAGGTCATAAAAGGTTTTCATATCATCTATTATATAAAAGGAGTCCACTGCACTTGGATAGCTGGTTTAGTGTCTCTGACAAGTGTGAAGCCGAGAAGAATTACTGGCTTGATGGTGATCCTTCTGATTCCGGCAAGACAGACCTTCTCCGCAGTAACAGCGTTGGAATATTTCCAGCCCATGGGAGCCTTTTCGCCTGTGCTTGGTACACACTTGACCTTCTTTGAGGACAGGTTTACAGATCTTGGACCAGAAGTGTCTAGCACAACACAGTCCTGTGGCGCAGTCTGACGACCGGAGACAGACAGAACCTTCTTGTCCTACGCAGGAGAAGACAGCAGAAAAAAAGTACACAGTTACTGGTAAACCTGCATCGTTTCATTACATAATTCAAAAGACACTTCTGATGTGCTGAAAAGGAGTCTTAACATCCTTACCTTTGGTGTGATACATTTTTGAAGACAATGTAGTTCTTCTAGAATACCCATCCAAAGTGCTATGATCATTACCAAAGCTTTCAGTGATGGTTTCCTCAATTTCCCCTCGGAAGTGAGTTTGCTCAGAAGACACACATATTCCTAAGGAAGCAGGAAATAGTGATTAACTTCAGGGTTGTAATGCATTACTGCTAACAGCTGTGGCAGTGGCAGTCTGCTATGCCAGCACCAACTTGAGATACTTCTTTGCAGTGAAATCATTTTAAAAACAAGCCGAATTTCCTCTCTACTGTTAACGCAAAACTCTCCAGATGGACGGAAGCACCAATGTGTACACTGTATACAGTCAGTCATATGTTACATACCTAGTATAGCCGTTTAAAATACTTTCCCATCAACTGTGGTGGGGGCAAGTGAGATTTACGCCCATTTTAATATTACCCTTGGGTTAAGAAATAGAAAATCAGTCACTTAAAAAATGTTCTTAAAAATAACTTCTCTCCCCCTGGTGCTATGTGGGTCCTGCTAGACTAAGTTAAGCAAATGCAATTCCAGCTGCCTGGAACATTGAAATCTCACCCACCAGTTACTTTACTGTGTAATTTCTATATTACAGAGATTCAGTTAGTTCATCCCGGAGTACTGCTGGGTCCTAAGGAGGGTCGTCGCCCTGTTAGTCTATTTCTGGAGACCTCTTTACCTGTTTAAATCCACCTCTTTGAAAAATTAAAAGTTAGTAGATCTGTGGTTGGGGGAGGAGTACTCATACATACTAAGGCAGCAGAGGGTAGAGGGAGGGGGAAGGATGGAGAGGCCAAGTTGTGCGACTATCAAGATCTCTCTTTAAAACGGCCAATGCTGATAAATTACTGTCCTCTGGCTGACAACAGTTTCAGCAAGGATCAGAAGGAGAGGCCAGTCTGGCAGAGCTGTGAGAGTCAGAGTAAGAAAAATGGAAAGGGCAGCTGAACGCCAAAGCTGGTTTCTTTGGTCTCTCTCCAGGATCCCGCCGTCCTCTCCATCATTCCCCTTCTCAACTGACCTCAAGGTTCTCCCCAGACACATTTTTATGGAAGCGTCCACTACGAGGTACGCCGTTGTGTTGAATCATTGAGGGACCCGGAGGAAGATGAGGACCTCAGAGACCTCCGACCTTCTCTCTCCTGCCCGATCAAACCCTTGCAAGACACTTCGGCGGAATCCTGCCTGCTGTTCACGCATTTGCAGGTGGCGCCGCCGTGCTCTCAGGGCGGAGAGTCCCGGCCCCCCACGCCGCACCCCATTCATAGACGCTCAAAGGCCGGACAGTTTTCGTGTGAAAGGGAGCTTTCAGAACGCACCGTTTTTGCAGAAATTCCCGGGGCAGCACATAGCGTGACGCATGCAGCGTTTCCGGCGCTTCCTGCAGGCGAGACAGATCTGCACGCCCGCGTCCCCTCCGCGGGTGGGACGAGCGCAGTACTCGTCGGTGGCGCACTCCTCGTCCTCCGCGCACGGGTACGGCTGCGGGAAGGGTTCGGGGAGAGGGTGAGGCATCCAGACGTCCAGGCACCCGCACTCTTGGACCCGGGCGCTGATCTCTGTCGCTATCTGTCCCCCTCTCCGGGACCCGTTACCACCCACCGCTCCCGAATGCAGTGTTGCCAAACGCTCGCTGAAACGCACACAGTCAGCACGTTCTACTCCCTCCTCCCCAGATACGACCCTTTCAAGGTCACAGCACCCCGGATTCCCCGACGCCTCTCACCTGGTAGTTGTCAATGGTCTGATACTTATTTCCGCCCGGGAACAGGATTCCGGGCGCGGCGCTGACTGCAGAGCCCGAGTGCCCCGCAGCGCCGCCCAGCGGCGGGGGCAGGTTCTTGATGGCGTTGGAATTGAGAACCGAGTTCAAGGTGGCGCTCGCTCCCAGCAGAGGGTGGCCGCCGAGAGCCGCCGCTACCAGCGCGACCAAGACCCGGGCAGCTCCCGCTGCGCCCAGAGCCATCATCTCAGAAGGACTCAGGAGGGAGAAAGAGAAATGACTGTCACTTTGCAAGCCCGGGCCCCTGCGAAACCGTGTCGGTGCAGCTGCACAGTCAGGGTTCCGGGAGCCCCCGCGGTCCCAGAGTCCCGACTGCAGGGAGCGCAGAGCTCTGAGCCGCCACCGCCACGGCGGCTGCCTTTATACCGCGGGCCCGGAGCATTCCGGCCCCTTGGGAGGGAGACAACAAAGCCGGGATGGGATTTCAAAGCGCTGGGAGGGGCTGGGAGGGGCGGGGAGGGGGTGTGTTTGTGTACATGAAGGGGGGCCTTTGACACTCTTCACCCCCGCCCTTGCTGGGTCGCTCGGCTGGCCCGGCTCTCCTTCGGGGTGACGGCCACCAGCGAGCATTAGAGCAGACGACTTTAATAAATGCAGGCGGCAGGAGGAACCCTGGGAACAGGGGTGCCCTTGCCTGGCGGTAAGGGGTTGGTTATCCGGATCTGAAATACTTTTCAGAGCCGAGGGGTGACACGCTCTGCAAAAGCACTTTTCGCCCCTCTCGCTTACGCCAGCACTCGCTGACTGTGCACACGAGTCATATTCGGTATCAAACGCAAACCGATCTGTAATTCACTGGCTCTAGCGAGACGCCTCTTTGCTCATGACTCATTAACCCTTTAAGAGTCGCGGCTTGCAGATCTGAGTTAGGGCCCTGGCTTTAAGGTCGTTCCGTTGCCACCCCCCACCCCCCACCCCCCGCCACTGCGAGAAAAATGTGCAAAGAGAAGGAGATTTGCACATCAAACGAGGGTAAGAAGGAAGAAGAGCTGATTCTCTTTTGATGGGAAGTTTAGAGAGGGAGGCGAGAGACTGGCGTTTAGAAATTAGATCAAGGGTGGAGGGGACGGGAACATGACCGTCCGATAATCAAACTATTTAATGTCGTTCTTTGAATCAGGGCAGTCGCGGCAGTGGATGAACTTGATTAGGCAGACGCGTGAGATCAAAGTGGCCGGGGCCGAAGCGGACGGGGTCCACCGTGCCGGGTCAGTCGCCTTTCTCAGATTCTGCCTTCTCAGTGGTGGGCTAATACGGGGAGATAAGAAACCCTTAGGGCTTAGAGCCTGACTTCCTCATTAGTAAACCGTATCGAAAGGCTTCCCAACTCCCTGTTTGCTCCCACGTCAAACCTTGCGGGACCACGCAATACACCTTGTAGGGAGATAAGAAACTACCTTGAGGAGGAGAGCTGAAAGTGAATTTGACGTCAGTGAAATTGGTGTGTAGATGGAATAAAGTAAGGCTGGTGTATAAGAATGGCGCTATGCTTATAAATGGAAAGTGATCTATTTAATTCAAGAAAAACATTGGAAACCTAGAGCTCTGGTATTGGGCTGCCTCTGGGTTGTTGCCTTACTGTTTTAATTTTTTGGTGAGATGGGTGGCAGGGGGAAAGGGCACAGTGAATACGAATATTTATGAGACAGAGTTCTGATTTTAGAAAATAAAATTCTCTTTATTCTAATTACAGTAATAATAAAAGATGTAACAATAAATTATAGTAATAAATTTTAAAAATGTACATCGTTCTTTTAAAAACAGGTTGATACTCTAAGTGTCAGAAAACAAGCAACTGTTCTCTGAGTTTGGAAAAGGGAGAGATGATTGAATAATCACTATTGAATAAAAAAAGACTAAGATACATTTGTTTTGTACTCCTCTAAGCTGTATAGATTTAGGTTGTTTATAATGACTCCACGTGCTGACCCACTAAAGTCAGAACCGGGGCCACTACCAAGTAAAGCCAGTGAAGTTCTTAAAGTAATGAAATTCTTAAGTTTAGTAGGGGAAGGAGTAATTAAAAGACAATTTGCCATGGTCTGTGTTGCAGTTCCTTCAGTCTCAAAGGTAATATTAAGAACATCATCTAAACAATTCTTGAATGGTACCCTAGTTATACTAGCATCCCTCCCATCCCAAATTCCATCTGGCCAGGAAATTATCCTGTCAGGAATCAGTGGGTTAAATGCCTTCAGTGTACTAGGAAATCTGCAAGCTACGATCTGCCTTCAGGTCATATAGTGGGCAGAGGAGAGGTAACCTCGAAAAATATTCAGGGAAGAAATTATATGGGTGGTCCTCAGAGAGGGCTAAGTACACAGCAAACCAACCCTTTGTTCCAAATGGGGAAATATACTTTTTGAGTGGATTCTCCATTTGAAAATCCTTTCCAGGATGTGGTTTGCTCATTGGCAACAAGAGTGCAAGGTAGGTAAAGAGGTACAGTAAAACTCATTGTTTCATCAGCAGCCAGTTAATTTTCAGTGAGTACCTATTACTGGCAGCATATCTCAATATATGAAAGGCAGGCCTCTTGTCCTCAGAAAGCTTTCAGTCTGTGAGTAGTTGGGAAAACACAATATACTTATATGGGGATGGGGGTAAAAATTTTTTCTAACATCGATTATATTTTGGCACATTCTTGGTCATGGGGAAATAAGAAAAAGGAGCAGAAACTGTGACTAACACCTGTCAGGAAAGAGAGAGGGTTCTGGTGATTGAGTCTTTCTTATAGCTGGGTGACAGAGGAGGTGGGCACCAGGGCAGGTGAATTCAGTTTATTAAACTGTTTAGCCCTGTAGAGAACTCTGCCTTCTATTTGATCTGGTATAAATATGATCATAATTAATGCACCAAGTTTAATATTTTGTATTGTATTTTTAAATAGGTGAAATATGCTCATCAGTGTGGAACTGAACCTCGTAACTCAGGAACACCATAATAAGACATGTCTTCTTTATATTTTAAGTGCTGAATGCCAGGCATAGACTATTCCTCAATGTTTTCATCCATGAGGGAGACAGACAAATAATACTCCAAAGCACACCATGCTATTCACCAACTGTTTTTCCATCTCTGCTATTTGTGACTGCTGAATTTTCTAATTTTATATCTTTTTTGAGACAGGATCTCCTTCTGTTGCTCAGGCTGGAGCACAGTGGGACAATCATGGCTAGCTGCAGTCTTGACCTCCCAGGCTCTAGGGATTCTTCCACTTCACCCCCCATCCCCCCACCCCACCCCACAGTAGCTGGGACTAGTTACATGCCACCACACCTGGCTAATTTTTAACTTTTTTTTTTTTTTTTTTTTTTTGTAGAAACAGGGTCTCATTATGTTGCCAGGCAGAGCTGGTCTTAAACTCTTGGGCACAAGCGATCCTCCCACCTTGGTCTTCCTAAATTGCTGGAATTACAGGCGTGAGCCACCGTGCCCAGTCTACTACTGTATTTTGAATTCCCTCCTTTATTCTTTTTTCTCTCCTTCCTTCCTACCTTCCTTCCTTCCTTCTTTCTCTTGATTAAATCAAAAAAAGCAAATTTGTTGCTATATAATTTTACTCTGCTTAGGAAAATACTGCCTAAATATCATTCCTTATGGTGAGTGTTAACATTTTTCTAATGTCAATCTTGAATTTATAGCAGGATTCCTCTTTCCTGGTGTTTTGTAAAAAATGCTGTGGCTTTTTCATTGACTTTTAAAACAGTTTGATCTTAATGTTCTTCATGTTGAAAGAATTTTTAGACCTGTGTTCCATGTTGACTCCCCTGAGAGCTGTATTTTTACACTCCTTAGTACAAAGAGAAGGCAAGATTTGGCCGTGATTACGTTTATTTGAGCAGTGGAGATGGCCAGCCCAGATAAGTCAGGCTCTGTGGTAACTTCCTAATCAAGTTCAGAAGATGTGTTTTATTGGAGCAGGACATTAAAAGCTAAGAGTCCGGAACCCAGAAACATTTAACTAAAACCTAGTGAAGATGGTGCCTAAACCAGATAGGTATCTGCCTGCATATTTTCTGAGGTCCTGACACTCAGAAAGGGCTGCGGTGTGTGGGTATAGGGAGTGCAATAGCCCCTTTGAGTCCCCTAAAGGATTTAACATCTCCAACCCTAAGGATAGGCCAGTGTCTGCAGAAAGCAGGCTGTAGGGTCCCATGAAACAGTCTCTACATTTACAGAAACACAGTTTTCCTCCATGTTAACTGGGTTCCTAATAAACTCTTGGGCACAAGCGATCCTCCCACCTTGGTCTCCTAAACTGCTGCGATTACAGGCGTGAGCCACCGCGCCCAGTCTCCTGCTGTACTTTGCAGCTCTTCTCCCAGAGTATGGCCAAGAAAGGCGTCATGCCAAGGGGTCAGGAGGCTGGGGATGAAACTCTGTACAGTGAGTGCCAGCCCTTATCTGGCTCCTAAATATGGGAAAGCCATTTAACTTGCGGTGTGGTGCTGGCTCTTCTTTATAAAATGGGATGCAGGGGAGATGGAGAGGTTCCTTTTCGCTACAAAAGTCTCTCTTTCTTTCTTTGTTTTCTTTTTCTTTCAGCACTGCCAAGGGAAGGCCTTTTGTACTCAGGTTAAATAACAACATCCTGCAAGGAGTCTGTTCTTTTATGCAGCCTAACGATCAAGTGACAATCACTGACATAGATATTGAGTATTCGATTTTGAAGACTGGCATGTAAGTATTAAGTGCCTGGAAACAAGGGGAATTACTTGAACCAGGCGACTTTCTAAAAAGGATGTGTGTGTGTCTGTGTGTAGAGAGGTGTGTGCGTGTGTGTGTAGAAAGGTTCCGTGTGTAGAAAGGTTGTTTTTCCCATCACAAAATTGTACTATTTGAAGCTGATTTTTTTCAGCCATCACCAATTCTCAAACTAGTGAATTGCTAAGGACCTTAGGTGAAAAGTAGAAAGCAGGACTTTGAAAACACTTCAGTCTTGATACTCAGTCTTAAGAAATGCTACAGAGTGGAAGGCGCTGGCTATGAAATAGAACTGTTAACTTCTGGCGGGGAAGTGGAGGAGGGATGTATAATTAATTCGTGCCAGGATTCTTCAGCACCCTTAAATTACAAAAATAAAATAATTTTCAGAGGAGTCTAGGAGTCCGTGGGGGAACTACTTGAGGGGCAGACCTAGGGGCTCCCAAGCCCGAGTCCTTCCCCAGTCCCTGCCTGCAGCGCGGGCGCGTTCCCAGGCCAGGCGCCCCGCACCGCGCCTCGCGGCGAAGCCCCATTGTTCACGCGCTCCCGGGGCCGGCTGCTCACGGTGGCTGCACTTGGGTGTCACAGCCCGTCGCCAGCATACAGTAGTGTAAAATGAAGCTTGTTTAAAGACTCTCTTTGATGAGCGAAGATCAAACGGCCTGGGGACCCCCGGTCTTAATCAGACTTGAGCCAGGAT